GTTGAAGGAACCTGGCGTTTCTGCCGGATGGGGGTGCTTTCTATGTGGTAGCTGCAGAAGAAGTTGTTTAAAAAGAGTTTTAAGATACTTGAAGGGAACCTCTTCTCATGGGTTGTTCTATGTTAGCTCAGAAAATTTTAAACTGTATGGTTTTTCTGACAGTGATTGGGCAGGTTCTTTGGATGACTGTAAAAGTACTACAGGATATTTGTTCTTGCTTGGGTCTAGTGCCATATCCTGGAGCTCAAGAAAACAACCATCTATAGTTTTGTCGTCTTCGGAAGCCGAATATATGGCTGTCACTGCAGCAGCTTGTCAAGCAGTTTGGCTCAGACAAATTTTGCAAGATATGAAGATTGAGCAAAAAGAAGCAACAATCATTTTTTGTGATAATCAGTCCACAATTTCGATGCCGAAAAATCTAGTTCATCACCAAAAAACAAGACACATTGATATTCGCCATCATTTTATAAGAGAGCAAGTTGCAGAAGGAAGTATTCAGCTAGAGTTTTGCAATACAAGAGAGCAAGTAGCTGATTTGTTTACAAAGGCTCTTACTTTTGAGAAGTTTGGGGGGGGGGGGAAGAGTAGCTGATTTGTTTACACGAAAGGCTGCTTACTTTTGAGAAGTTTGCATATTCTCAGAGACAAGCTGAGGAGTTAGGTGGAGGTTGTTTGCGATTAAGGAGGAGTATGTTGAGAGAGTAAGTGCAAGAGTAGTGGCTCTCACGGTGTATCTGAGTTGTTTTTACTTAGGGTGGTATTAAGTGTTCTGTTTTGAATAGGAGTGCAAGTATTGTGGTTATTTAGTTCCCGTATTGTTCTTGGGTTTGAGCGTGGAGGATAATTGTTGTGCGCAGCGTCAAGTGTTGATGTGGTGACGTATTGCTTTTTGTATTGATGCAGTTTCCAAAGCTCAGCATATTCGGACATATGAATCCATTAACGGAATAATGGGTATCTGATTTCTGTCTCGTCACATTTGTTATTTGATTCCCTATTTTCTTGTTGACGTGAGATAATTTGTGTCCACGTAATTTGGGATTTGGTTATGCTGTGATTGTATTTAAAGAGCATTTGATGAACGGAAATGTATCTGATTCTTCTCTCACATTTTCTGTGCACACCAGCGGTTTGCTGAAATTCCTCTTAGTTCTTTTTATTTTTTTTTCAGCAACTCTGTTCTACTCTGTTTTTCTAACAAAATCGACCATTAGTCCAAGTACAATGATACCCTTCGTAACCATAATCATTACAACCACATTCATTAACAATCATGTGAAACTCCAGCAATGACCGAGCATTTTTTGGAAGGTCATCCTTCTTTTCATGAGGGAATAGTATTTCATTAAAGTCCCCAACACACAGCCATGGCAAGCTAGTTGTGTTTGAGAGATTTCACATTAGGTCCTGTGTCAAAATTTTTTCACTGTCCTCTAGCCAGCCATAAATACAAGAAAGATGCATGCCTGATCAACAATAATATCGATATGGTGTAATGATGAGGAGAGTACATGAATTTGGAAAATCAGATGACCAAAACAACGCTAAACCCCCACTTTTTCGGATCTCATTAGCACACGAGACGGATAAAGATCCCGCAAAACCCAACGAATCACGTAGTTTGTTTAATTCTTTTATTAGTAGCTTAGTCTCCATAAGGAAGACTAGATTGAATAACTACTCAAGAACTTAACTCATGGATTATAATTTTTTTGATGAGCAAGCTTTTAAAGATTTATTTCAATAATTTTGTATTGAAAGTAAAAATAATTAAATATTTAATCTTTATATCAAAATGAAAAAGTATAAAATATCAGATATAATATTAAATTCGAATACTAATTTGTATTATCTAAAATTCTAATCTGATTTTTGGAAATTTCTAAAATTTAGACTAATTTAATCTAAAGAAAAATTGAAAACCAAAAAATCAAATTTAATCACTCAATAAATAATTTAATTCTATTTAATTTTTTCATGCAACAATTTGATTTATTTGGTTACTACTAACTTTAGCATTTCGTTAACTGCTAATAAAACTGGACAACAATGTCCAGTGATGAGGGCATGGAAATTTTTGCTGTTACACGTGGATTAAAACTCGACTGTTTTGTCAATTGCTCATTGCCTTCAACTTTTATGTACGCTTCATTGTTTTTGGGCCCTTAAAGCCTTTATAGTCCTTGGGCTTTTCTAAAGTTTTTTTAGCCCAATCAGTGGTTTTTACGTATTTTCAGATTTTCTTTTGTTTTACCCTTTTTTTTTAGTAATTAAATCTTAAAATACATTTTTTAAAAAAATATTATGCACTACAGTAAGAGATAATTCTCTTATTTTAATAATTCGTCAAGTTATTAATTCATTAAACTGATAAAAAGCTCTTATAATTAAAAGAATTGAATTTGAAACTTTTAATTCTCTGTATTTATGTAGAAAAATAAAGAAATCTAATGAAGCCATACACATATATATTACCTGTTGATACAGATTATATGTTGATAGAGATTACCTTTTGGTACAGCCTGATCTCCTACGAAAAAAAAAACGGTGGAGGAGTGAGCAATTTGGGGTTATTCACCGGCGATTATATGCATACATAATCATCATTAGTAGCACAAGAGTGTGACTAGACCTCAGCTTTAATCTCTCATTATAATGTCTGTCATTATGTAGTCGGTATATATCACTCTCTATGTTTTAAAATATAAATCGTTTAAAGATTTTATATAAATATTAAGAAAATAATTAATTCTTTTAAAGAATAACAAAATGAAGGGTAAATTGACTAAATTATCATATATCTAAATGTAAATAAGGGGTGATATTGGAAAAATATCATTCATTACTCTTTAAAATATTCAAAACGATTTATATTTTGGAACAAAATAATCATCTAAAAACAATTTTTATTTTGAGATAGATGGAGTATACATTTTTCTTTATAACAATCAATCTGAATTATAATATCATCTTTATAACAATCATAAAGTAGTAAAACATTAAGAAAATAATTATTTAGTTGAAGGAAAATGAAATAAAGGCATTAATTAATTAATTTTTTTAAAAAAATAAAAATTTAATTTATAAATTTTATCAAATTATAAGGTTGAAACTGAAATTATAATTCAACTAATTCGCATGCGTAAGGCTTGACTTTGACCTTCGAAATTTTGATGCAGACACTTCAAATCAATGTTACGCTTTGGTAAGCAAACCTAATAATAGAAGAAATAAAAAACAATCAACGTTAGAAAGGCAGATTGCAAAACAAAGAAACTGAGCTATCTTCTAATTTTAGATATAAAAAATGTTAAAAAAGGGAAAATTAATAATTGTATTACCAAACCTTCTGCTTTCTTCTTCAAATAAACAAAACGTTAGCCAACAAATGATTGCCATTGATATTAACCAATTTCTTAGTAATTAGACCATTTCAATTCGTCAATTCTAGCATTATTTTAAGAGTAATTTTGGGTTAGGTAATCCATTGGAAATTCTTAAATTTTAAGAAATTTAATTAATCCAAGTCAACAGCTATTTATCAAAGTATTAATTAATATTCTTACAAAAAAGTATTAATTAATATCAAAGTACACATTTTTTATTCTTGATTATGCCTTTGGATATCTAGTGATTGATGATGTTTTGGATTAGTCGCTTGTCTTAAGATGTTTGGCCATTTTAGCCACCAAAAGAAAATAATAATAATTCTCTTACCAGGTTGATGATCTAATTTATCTTTCTTTTATTTTTAATTAGGTGTAATTTGAAATAAATAAATAGTAAAAAAGAAACATAATTTATTAAGTGTGCATGCATGTTTGCGTATATTTTCATATATTGCTTTTTTGTTAAATAAGAAAATATAAATACACTTTATCATAATATATATAGGTCTACATTGTTCACTTTGGGTTCAGCCTCACGATTTTATTTCTGAGAGTGACGAGCTATCACCATCAAATGCCTCTTAATAGTTTAAGGCTTGATTATTTTTATATATATCACTTTCAGCTTAAACAATGCAAAATTCAATTAAAGCAAACTAACATCTTAAACTAGCATTTTATCTCGGGTAGACGTTACGAATTGCATATTCATCTTTAAATTTACTATCTTAAATTATCAATTCGAATTCGGCAGTTCAACTTTAACCATAGATTTGATAAATAGTTAATAATCAAATTAAAGATTAATTACATCATTAGATAATTCAGCATAGAGTGCAATTGATATTAAGTGAATATAGTAAGATATAATGTCAATTTGATCTTTTCCTTTCTATTATAGTGAAAATAACTTTAATCTTTTTTAAAAATAATTTCGGCATCGAGTGCAATTGATATTAAGTTTTAAATTGAAACATAATAAACAAAGGCAAAATTGACTAATTCTAACCTACTCAATAATTATTTTAGTAAAACCTAAGGTTTAAAATTTTCCTCATTTTCTTTTTCTTTTAAAATTCCATTGTAGGACAAAAATATAGGGCAGAATGGTAATATTCTATACTAATAAAGAAATTATTTTTTTCCAACAGATTTTTATTCTTTAATAACTATTCGTTGGATTAGGTTACAAATAAGAAACTTGTTAATGGCTAAATATGTTTATAATTTAATATTCTTTTTTCATTTTTTCATATAAAATTCTGGAGAGAAAGCACCTACCAACGTTTTTGCTTTAATTAGCAGTAAGCATAATGTCTTTTCTGTTCCTTAACCACCATACCAAAGACATTTATAGAAGTCTTCAATATGGTTGCTGCATCAACATGAATCTTGAAACCGTAATCTTTTGGTGGGCTCCATTCTTCGCCATTGTTAATTTCCTACCCGTTTTTTTGTTTTTTTTTTGAAAGTAAATAAGATCATATATTTATAATAAATCATGAGAAATAAGATCTACAATAGATTGGGGAGTCGAGTCCCATAGACGACGGAAACAAGGATGTAAACATGTCATACGAGTAAATAAGATCGTATATTTATAATAAATCATGAAAAATAAGATCTGCAATACATTGGGGAGTCGGAGTCCCATAGACGAAAACAAGGATGTAAACATGTCATACGAGCAAGAGCATGTGCAGGCTTGTTACCTTGCCTCCTAACCCAAACCAATTCACTAGATGGTATTTGAGAAAGTAGTTGTTTAATCTCTTCTTGCACTGGTGCCCAATCGGAATAAGAATCAAAACCAGTAGTTACAGCTTGAAACAGTCGTAGGCAATCCATTTCAACTAGAACCCTACCAATAGATCTCGTGAGCAACCAAGATAAAACCTCCCTAAGGCCGATGGCCTCTGCGATGTGAGGTTTTAGCACCCCCGCAAACCCGTTGCAAGCTACCAAGAACTGTGAACTGTCCAGCTTCATTTCGGACAAGGCCAGCATACGATGAATGACCCTCAGTCATATGGACAGTTGCATCAACGTTACACTTTACAACCCCAGTCGGAGGAGGAGCCTATGTCGAAACTGAAGCCGACGATACAGAGGAATTGCTTTGATCAATCTGCACGTTCTTCCACTCTCTAAGAAAGCTGGTAGCTTCCATGACAATGTTGTAAGGAGCAATATTAGTTTGTTGCCAAACTCGCCGGTTTCTGTCAAACCAGATAAAATAGCACAACACACCGAATAACAAGCAGTGATCATAACTGCGCCGATCAATAAACCCCAATAGAGTATCACTAAAACTAGTGGCTGATCCATCCAACGGAATCCCTGTTATTGTCCAACATATTGGTCCAACAACAGTCGAAGCTTTCTCACAAAGGAATAGCATGTGGCATTGTTGTCTCATTTTCTCGCCGCAAAAAGGGCAATGGTCATCCTCTATAATCTGCTTGCCAAATAGTATAGATTTCGTTGGTAGAATATTACGACACGCTCGCCACAACCAGTGCTTAACCTTTGGTGGGGAATCTAATTGCCATAATTTAGCCCAAATTGGCGAAGTTGCAGTTGCTTCACGTTCCACGAAATTAGGCAGGACAAGGTTGTAGCCTGATTTAATAAGATATTCCCCTGAAGTAGAGAAGTTCCATATAAGTGTATCTGCCTGGGTAGCCCGAGTAAACGGGATGGATAGAACCTGTGACATCTCCTCTAGAAGGAACAATCTGGCAATTAAATCCACGTTCCAACCATTAAACATCCTTAGATTTCCAACTGACATGTTCTCAGAACCAGGGACAACAGGGCTACGGGCTACGTGGGTAGAAATCATTATCATTTTGGTACCCACGGGTCGTTGCCAAATGTTAACACTTGAACACGTTGCAATTCTCCATCTATACCCTCTTTTGAGAAGTGACTTAGCTGAGGACCATTGCTCCTCCATATAAGGCTGGGATTATGCCCTTCAGGGGCGCATCCAAACATTCCCCCCCCCCCCCCGGAAACCCCCCCGGAAAATATTTTGCTCTGAGAACGGAACATAGAAGAGTATTCGGCTCGGTGACAAGTCACCAAATCTGTTTACCAACTAGGGCAATATTAAAGGAGTAGAGATGTCGAAAGCCAAGGCCGCCCATAGTCTTTCCCATGCACATTCGGTCCGAACAGAGCCAATGAATTCCTTTACCGCTCGGACCTTGCGTACCCCACCAAAAAGAATTCATAATTCTTTGCAGTTTGTCACAGAAGGAAGCAGGGAGAAGGAAAGTACTCATGCAGTAGGATGGAATTGCCTGAGCTATAGTTTTAATCATTACTTCCTCATTACTTCCTTTCCCGCCTTAGAAAGGAGTCTATGGCTCCATCGAGAAATGGTCTTTCTTAATCTATCTCGAAGAAAGGAGAAGACTGCCTTCTTGTTTCGTCCAACTAGGGAAGGAAGTCCTAGGTATCTGCATGGTTTAAGGGTTGAGAGACTTGCAAAATGTTGATGACCTACTCTTTAACCGAGACATCCACATTAGAGCTGAAAAAAACACTCGATTTTTGCAAATTCACACCCTGTCCTGATGCTGCTTCATACTGTTTTAAGATATGTGCAACCGCTGTAGCTTCTTCTGCTTTAGCTTTAAAGAAAAGCAGACTATCATCAGCAAATAAAAGATGACATAACCTCGGAGCAGCTCGACAAATACGACCCCCATGGATTGACCCTACTGCCTCTGCATGCATAAATAAAGTCGAAAGCCCCTCAGAACATAGCAGAAACAAGTACGGAGATAGAGGGCACCCTTGTCTCAACCCACTCAACCCACGAGATGGAGTAATAGGACCAACCCTTTCACCATTAACAAGTACATGATACCTGACCGATGTAACACACATCATAATCAGCCGAATGAACTCAAAACAGAACCCAAGTCTTGTCATTATAGCTTCTAAATAGGACCAGTCAACTCGATTATATGCCTTACTAATATCAATCTTCAGAGCCGCTGTTTGTTCTTGACTCCTCCCACGGTTTTTTATAGAATTTATTGTTTCAAAGGCAAAAATTACATTGTCCGTAATTAGCCTTCCATGTACAAAAGCGAACTGAGATGGGGAGACAATTTTCCTCAGGACATGCTTCATCCGATTAACTAAGACCTTTGCCACAATCTTATATAAGACATTACATAGGGAAATTGGCCGCAGATCTTTCACAAATTGAGGTTTATCAATTTTTGGAATTAGTACAATGTTGGTCTCATTCACCAGATTAGGCAATGTTGGTCTCATTCACCAGATTAGGAAAAGAGCCGTGTGCAATTCACCGTTTACAGCAAGTAGTAACATTTGATCCCACAACTGACCAAAATTTCTGAAAGAAACATGGATTGAACCCATCAGGGCCAAGACTCTTGTCCGGGTGCATTTGAAATACCGCCGATCGAAACTCCTCATCAAGAAAAGGGGCCATAAGACTGTCATTATCAGATTCAGTGACCCGAGAATTAACATGCTCAAGAACAGGACTAGACTGGACAGGTGTGGCCATAAATAGTGTAGTGAAGTATGCTAGAAACACAGTATGCATATCCCTCGGTTCTTCCTTCCAATCACCTCTCGAGTCCCGGATACCTAGAAGATAATTTAATTTTTTACGTGAGGAAGCTGAGGAGTGAAAGTACCTACTATTTTTGTTCCCATGAGCAAGCCAGAATATTTTTTATCGTTGTTTCCAGTACTGCTCTTCTTTAAGAAGCAAATCACCAAGCTGCTTTTGTATTAAAGAGTACTCCTCTGAACTGTCACTGCTCTAGTGGACTCGAAAGCCATTAAGTCGGGTTTTAAGCAATTTAATTTCTTTAAGGAACTTGCTACTTAAGTCACGTCCCCAAAATCGCAACCCAGCTCTGCATGCTTGTATTTTACCCATCACATCACCATGGGCTCCTCGGGCCCAATTATGAGTAACAGTCTCATCAAGGTTAGGCTCCCCAATCCATGCATTTTCAAACCTGAAGCTAACTTGTCTTTTAGTCCTTATTGTCTTTTAGTCCTTAGGTCAGTGCCCAATAAAAGCAATAATGGAGAATGGTCCGATGTGCCACTAATTAAGTTGTGAACCGAAGCATTTAGGAAAAAGCAAGACCATGTATCTAAGCCACCATTCGGTCCAATCTTTCCTCAATTTTGTTACCTCCCCTACCAGATCACCATGTGAACGGATACCCTACCATACCAAGATCGGAGACCCGACACACCTCCAGCGCTTCTCGAAATCCCTCAAGATTACGTAGCTCATAAGGATGGCCCCCTATCTTCTCGTCATCTGCAAGTTCTGCAAAGTAGTAGATTATTAAAGTCGCCCATTAGAAGCTAAGGAAGGTGTGCTGACTAGCTAGAGTTTTAAGGAAGAGTCCAGGTTGTCTGGCTTTCCTATGATGTTCAGTGGAAACCATTATTTACACACGTCAGTCGCCAAGTATGCGGTCCATAAGTTATTTTGCATATCAATATGGATTTGGGGAAGTGGGAAGTAAGGGAAAATTAAAATCAACATTCAAATTATATTCCAGAAAAACAGCTAAACCACCACTTTCTACAAGATAATTCAACTGGAAAAAGAATGGAGAAAACCACACTGCAGACTTAAGTTTTAACATAAAGAGGAAGCTACTTTTGTCTCCATTAAGGAAGCAGAACATGGGGCTTATTTGGCACGACAAGATTCCTTTTCGAACAAGATCCTTTAGAGCACTCACTGCTTGAGGGTTGCCCATCCCTCGGAAATTCCAACATAGGAACGTCATGGCTCTCGGCGGCCCTGAGTACTAGGGCTCGCCGCTTTAACTGAGGTGCTAAGCAAAAATGCTCCATCACTGCTGCATACGTTTGCATTAATTTGCATGGCTGAAACAGAACGTGGTAAGGAATCAATACCGTTTTGGGTTTGAGTTGTTGGTAGAAGAGAGAGTGCTGAGTGACATCATTGCGCTCATGCAATTGCAAGAAGTTCAACATGCATAGCGCAAGAGTGTTTTAGAGGGGTATATTTATTTGAATTGAGTCAAAGGACAAGTACAGTGTTCAAGACAGCTGGAGCCTGGACATATGGACGAGGTCACGCTTTGATGCTCTCCATCATTCAATATTTCTTTTTGTTTTTAATTGACCGACACAAAAGAAGAAAGGATTCTCAAAAATGGGCCCGCAAGGAAGGCTAGTCGTTGCAATTGTGTAATCGAGACAGCAAGACACAGTGTCGAGGTCAAGCGTTGATGCTCTCCATCATTCCTTATTTCCTTTTTTTTTTTTTAATGATTGACCGGCACAAAAAAGAAAGGAAAGTCTCAATATGGGCCCACCATGAATACGAGTCGTTACAGTGGAGCTCTATCCGGCATTAGCTGGATCAGCCAGAAGACGACGTGGTCTTGCTTGAATGTGGACTGCCAACAGGGAGCTTGGAACATAACAAGAGATAGGCTGCAAGATCAAGATGCAGGTTGTTGTTTTGTATCACTTCAAACCCTCTTAAACCTAGGTTCCCTTTTGCACTTCTCTCACCACCTTCTAGCGAGAGTGACCCATCACAACCAGCGCTAGCCTTTTGCACTTCTCTCACCACCTTCTAGCGAGAGTGACCCATCACAACCAGCGCTAGTTCAACCGTTGAAGACTTCAGTTTGAGCAGAGCTTGTCAGTTATGGAGCGAGAAACAAGCGAAGCAAAAAAGGAGATGGTTATAAACGAAGAATGGAATGGCTCTTCTTCAACCCATCTCTCTAAAACTGCAGGAACTCGACGACATTGCTATGTCCGAAAAGGCTATAAACTTAAAAGAAGGCAAAAAACCAAAAAACAAATTGCATGCCTTCGATTGCAGACGCTGCTGAAAATCAAGAAAGACACAAACAAAATGATGTTGATAGAAGCACAGTCTCTGTTTTTGTTAATCTGCTTTCTTTCGTTGGGAGCTAATCATG